TGTGGGTAAGAGCAGTATCTAGAGGGGTAGGAATGTGTTCATCCAGTACCTGCACATGTCCTAATGAAACTGTGTAGTGGTCAAGAAAACTAGAAAGTTAAGCTTCACTGAAAGTCTGGGGCGTGTGTGTGTATTTTATGTGAAATCTATGTTAAAGATGGTTTCCCAAGTATAAAAACATAAAGAGGAAAATTAAGCCAGTCACAAAAAAAGACAAATTTGTATGATTTCACTTACATGAGGTATCTGAAGTCAAACTCGCAGAAACAAAGTAGAATGGTGGTTGTCAGAGGCTGGAGGGAGGGGAGCTGAGGAGTTGTTCTGTGGATCTAGTTTCAGTTTTGTAGGATGAAAAGTTCTGGGGATCTGTTGTACAGCAATGTGACTACAGTTAACACAACTGAACTATACACTTAAACATGGTTAAGGTGGTAAATGTTATGCTATCTGTTTACCACAGTTTAAAAATTTTTATGAAATAAGTGGAAAAATTTGTTATAAAAGATTTTAAAACTCTTGTTAGAGAAAAGATATTTATTTAATTGGTTTTAATCTAATGACATATTAGATTGATTTAAGTTCTAATCACATTTTTTTACAAATGAAAATTTTGATGAAATGGACAAATTTCTAGAATATGAAAACTTACTAAAATGGATTCAAGAAGAAATAGAAAGTCTGAATATGTCTATAAGTGTTATTGACATTGATTCAGAATTTAAAAGTTTTTCCACAATACAAAAACATCAAGTTCACACAGTTTCCATGACATTTCTATCAGATTTCAAAAAAAAAACAACTGGTAACTTGATTTTATACAGTTGTCTGGAGATCTAAAGATGGACCACTCACAGTTTTATTGTATGATACTAGTTAATCTCAAAACTGAAAGCAGACGTGTATATTATGAAAAAGGAGCGCTATAGTGCATTTTTAATTGTGAATGCTTTGAATCAGAAAATATTAAGCTAATTTGAGTCATGTACACAAAAGATTGTCATCAAAAAGGTTATTTAAGGTTGTATTAGATCGTTTTTGCACTGCTATAAAGAAATACCTGAGACTGGGTAATTTATAAAGAAAAGAGGTTGAACTGGCTCACAGTTGTGCAGACTGTACAGGAAGCCTAACAACCTCTGCTTCTGGGAGGCCTCAGGAAGCTTCCAGTCATGGCGGAAGGCCAATGGGGAGTAGGGACATCACATGGCGGGAGCAGGAGCAAGAGAGAGAGAAGGGGAGGTGCCAAATACTTAAACAACCAGGTCTTGTAAGAAGTCACTGTTGGCGGACAGCCCCAAGGGCGTGGTGCTAAACCATTCTTGAGAAATCCACCTCCAGGATCCAGTCACCTCCCACCAGTCCCCACCTCCAACACTAGGGATTATAATTCAACATGAGATTTGGACAGACACAGATCCAAACCGTATCACAGGTGTGCAAGGTCGGTTTTACATTAGAAAACCTATGACTAGGGCTCATATTAGGAGAGTAAATGAGAAAAAAAATCAAGCACCTCAAAAGAGACACATGCAGTAAAATCAATATTCATTTATGATCAAAAAGCAAAGTAGGAACAAATGGCAGTTTTCTTGACCTGATAATGGGTGTTCTTACCTGAAAAAGGCCGGGGCTCCTTCACCTGGTGAGTGACAAAGGTCTCTCTACAAGAACGCAAATTATGATCCATGGGAATTTTGTTACTTGGCACAAGGAAGGAGAGCACTGGGACTTTTCTCCAACGCAGTGTCTTCCTGAGGGGAAGTGACAAGAGGATTTCATGGGGTGCTGGAGAGGGGAGAAGGCACATTGTGACATGGGAGAGGAGGGCGCCAGTGGTGTGGATGCAGTGGGTGGTCATGCCAATGACAGGTCGCACGTTGTGGCCATGAAGTTATAGCTCTCCTGGGGTCCAGGCTTTAGCGTGGCAGTGAGGAAGGTTCACTCGGGTTCATCTATAAGTGGCCACAGTCTGACAGAAGCTAGTTCCAGCTGACTAGAAGACCACACTCCACACAAGGTTTGGGAAAAAGCAGGCTGCCAGGCAAGAGGCTGTAGAACAGGATGATTGCTCAAGTTGGTTAAATTTGTGTAATCCCTGGAGACCCTCCTTGTCTGCTTATAACATCTACTGTAAATCTATGACTGATGTTATACTTAATTAAGAAATGTTAAAATTATGTACTTTAAAATTGGGATCCACTTAAAATATTTGTATATCTAATAATTACCAGTGTTAGTAGAACTGTACCTGTACACTAAGACAAGAAAAGGAGAAATTTAAAGGAGCAAACAAAACAATCATTAACAGATGATATTGTCTATAGAGAAACTCCTATAGAATTTAAAAATAGGTTATTCAAATAACAAAATTTAACAGGGATACTGGGTATAGGATTAATATATTTTTTAAAAATCAGTAAATACCAGCAACGAATTGAAAATCTAATTTAAAATACCTTTTATAATAGCAAGACAGCCTAAGGTGTTGAAATAAATCCTACAAATGATATTTAAAACCTTTATGGAAACAATATATGGAAACAGAAAATCTTACTGAGTTGTTGGCTGGGCACAGTGGCTCCTGCCTCTCATCCCAGTACTTCGGGAGGCCACGGTGGGAGGAGTTTGTGAATAGGAAAAGAATCTGGAGATGGCTGGTGGTGATCGTGCCGCAACAATGTGAATGTAGTAATGCCACTGAACTGTACACTTAAAAGCGGGTAAGGTGGTGAATTTTATGTTGCGCGTGTTTTACCACAATTTTAAAAAATGTAAATGGATGATAAACCTGGCAGTGTTTTGTGGTTACCTGTGGGTAGGTTCGTGCAGAAGGTTGACGGAGGATGATCATGGTAAAGTTTGTTCTAGTTGGGTAGTATATCCATGGGTATTTAATGACATGTAAAGCTAAATACTGTACTTTTGTTATTTAAAAATAGAAAGGGAAAAGGGTGATTTATCCTTTGGTGATTGGCTTACATTAGCTAAACAGAGATTGATACATAAAACCAAATACCAACTTGCTGATTTTCAGTGGAAAAATATATTAATAAAAATGTGTTAATAAAATACTAATATGTGTGTATGCATGTGCACACACACTGGCCCACCCAAAGTAGCGATTGTTTATTGAGAGATGCAGGAAATATGGAAACCTAGGAGAGATGAGGCCCAAAGGAGCTAACAGAGGCCTAGTCTGGAGTGAGAGCAGGCAATGTAAGCTTTCATGTATGTCTTTCCTGTTTTGTTCACTGTCATAAACAATCTTCTGTGGTGTTTTGAAATTTCTTTTTTTTTTCTTCTTCTTTTTTTAGAGACAGGGTTACACCATGTTGGCCAGGCTGGTCTTGAACTTCTGACCCTGGGTGATCTGCCTACCTCAGCCTCCCAAAATGCTGGGATTACAGGTGTGAGCCACCTTGCCCAGCTTTTTTTTTTTTTCTTTTTGGAATTTCTAGTGCTTTTTGTGTAAATGTATTATTTGCCACATAAACAATATGATGTTATTACTTAAATTCTCATATGTCATTGCTTTTTATTATATTTTAAATCTTAAGATCGTTTATGTTTCATTATAATAATATAATACATCATAATCCTAATGATCTTTCTTTTCTTGTATCTTTGTTGGAGTTTGTGCATGAAATGAAAGTGGAGATAGGCTAAGATGTTCTACTGCATGACAGGTTTCTTCTAGGACTGAGCATTTGATGTTAGCATAAGCTTGCTTTTATGGAACTGAGAATTAATATTCTGGTAAAAGAAGCCTTGAGGTCCTTTGCTTTAGGTCCTTTAAGAAAGTCATAGGTTTGTCTTGTCTGCTGTAAGCATTCTCCCCCACTTCCCTGTTTCCATGTGGTATTGCCTTTTGTGACTTATATCTGTCACTGGGGAGGTGGGGGTGAAGGGTGGGGATAGGAAGCACAGGGCCCTGAGGGCTGACAGACCTGATTTGAAAGTGAATTCTGGCATTCAGGGAAATTATTTCACTCTTTTGAGTGTGAACTTTGTTATGTATAATCAAATTGACCTTTCAATATATTGTAAAGATTCAGTAAATGAGTATAAAGAACTAATAGGAGCTCTGCAAATGTTAGTTCTCATTTCTTCTTTTCCATGAATTTTGAACTGAAGAATTATTAGAACAAAAATAGAAGAAAAGAACCTTACTAGCTAACCAGTGAATTATTTGATGTGATGTGATGTACTAAGAAATATTTTTTCTCAAATTTAGAATTATGTTTAAAAATTTTGATAGATAGTTATTGTCTTTTTTTATAATTCAGTTCTTTCATTTACGTATTGAAAACTTGTATTTTTTTTACTTGTAATCTAGAGGATTTTTATTTGTCTAATAGCATGGGAAATTTCTCCCCACAAGTTTTAATGCAATAGACATCTTAATTCAATAAACTAGCAATATTAGTGTTTTTATTTTAACTTATCCCAAATACTTTCATTTTGTCCAGCTTTAACAGCTTGAGCGTCTCATAGTTTTAATTTTTTCATGTTGTATAGACCACATTAATTATATTTGCATATAAAATAGATTACATAGCATATTAATATTTAAAAAACATTTCACTATTTTACTATAGAGCTAACAAAGCTTTTCACAAAGCTGTTTTCTTTGACGTGAGACCAAAGCTCTTTCATGTATACTCTTAATGATTACTAGGGAGCAAGGGGAGAAATGTTTGACACTCTGTATGCTTGTTTGTAGTTTTTTCATGGCTTAAAGTAAAATAATTAATACCTGCTTTTATTTTCTGTTTTTTATTAGTGCTTCTATCGCTCTTCCCAATGACTGTGTATATATTTGGTGCAGTCTTGATGCCATGCTGAGCAAACCTTATTTTAATGTTACTAAGCGACCCTTTTTGTTAAGTGAAAACAATGGCTTGATATTTATTTTAAATGTTCTGTGAATGTAGACGTTTTCCCAGGCTTCCTAATGGGTAGAGACATAGTGTATGAAGTGGTTTTTACATCCCTTACAGGAGGACAAGATGTCCAGGCAAAACCTTGTTTAAATGTTCATCACCATAGAAACATACCAGCTTCTCCATAGAGCTTTTGTGAGTACATTGTAATTTTCACTTCATTGATGTGAATTAAATGTATAATTGACCAGCACAAAAATTCCAAGAAGCAATTATATCATAACCATTTTAGTGCAGTAGACTATCCATTTAGTCCCTATTGAAATCTAAAAGAAATCGAAGTGTTTAGTCTTTAGTAATCTATTTCAACTAATTTAATCTTGTGTAATATTGAGGTGGTTGTAATTTCAAAAAATGATAGTATAAAATTAACGTGATTAATTCTATAGGTTACTCAAAACAACTGGTGTTTCACTGGCAGAAAAGTACTTACTTTCAGTGGTGTTTCTAACTAATACACTGAGTGCTTATTATACTGCAATTTTAATAAGGAGGATGGAGTTTTGCGAAAGTAATTTAGGATTACGGGTTTTTTTTTTTGTGGGGAATGAGAGGATAAATATTCACACTGAGAATAAAAATATTGTGAAGTTCATGAAATCCTAGTATTATGTGACATAATCTAAGCATTCAAAACTAGGTGAAGGAAGTACAGTTACTGATAATAAACAGAAGTTCTTACAGTCCTGTGATCTTGTATTCAGGAGACTTTTCTCATTAAGAGGAACAATGGAGACCTTCTTCCTTGTTTACGGTGTTTTGCCACTTTGTTGTTTGACGGGCATTTTAATAAGTTATTCTGACATCTGGTACATCTTTTAGCTCAGTATATGCAAGAATGGAGTTGATAGGAAGCTTCCCCTTGGGGCTTTCTAGCTCCTGATTCTGACCCTTAATGGAAAAATGAGCAGTCGGCATATTTTTTGCTTATATGCCGTCCTGCTGGTGATTAATGGTGGTGATAAAGTGCTCACAATGCTTTTCATTACTTTGCAGACAGAATGGCATCCAAAAGTCTAAAAATCTCACACATGGCATGCGCTAAAGCCTGTGTTCTTGAAGCTTGGTAATATTTTTATGATCTCAAAAAAGATACTGGTAACAGCGTATAGATTTTTAGTACTTGTATTTACTAGAGGAAGCTGAATTAACAAATGAAATCTATATTTATAGTCCCATCATCTCCTCCCTAGCCCAGAGTTTTTGAAGGTAAAAAATTTGCCACATTGCATTTAATGAACATATGTATCTCTTTTTTTTAAGGTTTATCTAAAGCTCATGCATGTGGTACTTAATTGATTTTATGTTGGACAGGTTTTAATCACAAAAAGAAAGTAAAATTAACAAAAGGGAAAAACTTAACTATCCTAGCCTCCTAGTGGATTAAGTCAGAATAACAGCTTTTCCTTGCTGTATCAATTATCTTTATTATTTCATCAGACAGGCATGATCATATTAAATAATTTTGTTGGCTTGTACTGTGGCAGCCTTTTCTATAAGTATAGTATTGCTGATTTACTCTTTTAATGTAGATCGATAACTAGAAATGAGCAGATTTCGTGAGTTACTTGCTGGGTTTCAAAAGAAATATTGACTAATTTGAAATAACTTGAACAATTTATATGATTTGACTACAGAAAGCTCTTTTGGCTAAATGTTTCTGAGTTGACTACTTAAATATGTGATTATATCTTTCAAGATAGTTCTTATTTGTGTATCTATAATAGAAAAGTCATCATTTGGATGGGTATGGTGGTGGGAGGAAAAGAAGGGATGAATTTGCGTTGTAATCACACCGTAGAATCAGAAGCACTTGGTGTTTGACTGGACCGAGGTTCAGGGTGTATGGTAGGGGGTAGGGCATAGGGTTCAGCAGGAAAGGTAGGTGACCAGGTTGTTTATCCGGCATAAACAACAAAGTGGATAATGATGCCACGTATTCAGGTATATTGAAGGAGGAGCAGAGATAGAGAATAAAATGATTAGTTTGGTCTTAGAATTAAGTTAAGGTACGGGTCAGATGTCTAATGAAAGATAGCAGTTGATATATATGGTTCTTGGCCACAACAGTAAGATTTGGACTAAAGATATAAATTTCAGAGTTGTTGGCTCTCGGAAGAGGCAAGATCCTTGGGTAAAAACTGAGCAATATATCATCTGTGAACCATCTTCATCAGAATCAGCTGAGGTACCACTTTGGGGTTGGTGCTCAGGAATTGGCAAGCTCCTCGGTAATTGTGATGCATGTTGACTTTTGAAAAGCACTGATACGACATGGGAGAAGATGAACATCTGAGACTGGGCCACAGGAGGAAAGGAATTCAAGGTATTTTCTTTTATAGAATGAAAGAAATAGAAATGGAAACAGAAGCTAAGGTGTAGAGGAGGGAAGGTGAGGGACTCACAGACCCTACTCAGCTATGTCCTACTAAGGTAGAGTTAAAGTGAGCTGTAGTTGGAAGAAAGTAGAGGATGAGATTATAGATCAAAAATAAAAAGAAAAACAGTTTTTAAAATGTGGAAATTGCTAAAGTCAGCCAGAGATCAGCATAAAGATTGCCAAGTAGCATTACAGGTCCACTTTGGAATGTAGTAGTAAAACATTCTCATGATTCTATAATACAGATTTTTTTGACAGGGCTGGGAATCATGGAGTAGGTGCCAGGGATTGTTGAAGTTGGTCTGGTGGAAGCCAGAGGTTCACGGAGCTCTAGAATATTGTTGTGGACCATCTTTACAATTCACTAGTGAACCATGGGGTTCGGGCTGGTGAAAGAGAAGACTGGCTGGAAGGATTGGGAGGGAACAAGGGAGTGGAGATTCTGAGGATGCGGAGGCAGAGCTGGGTTAGGCACTGAGGGGACAGAAAAGGGTAGGAAGTTGTGGACTAAGATGGCAGCTTCTTAGAGCTGAGTTTGAGATCTTAGAGGTGAGCCTGAGAGGTGGTGGAATAGGTTGAATGCATATGGGTGGCTACAGGAGAATGAGAATGAAGCTGATTGGAATTGAGGTGATGAGCTACTATGTTCCTCAGGAGGGCAGGGGATGTGGTAAGAAGTACTTGTGAGCCAGATGCTCCTATCATCGAGAAAGATGGGACTGCTTCTTACGGGTTTCTAGATGGTAGGGGACAAAGTTGGAAAGAGGGTGATAGGATAGCATTAGAAGGTAGCATAAATTTCATTTAGAAACACAAATGATATGTGAACTATATATATGTATATATGTGTTTTTTATATATAGGTATAAAGTGTATATACATAAAATCCATTTGATCTTTATAACAACGCTATGAGGTAGGGGTCTTATTAATATGCTCATTTCACACAGGAGGAAAGTGAAGCACAGCAAAGCTTCGTCATTTTCCCGATATAGCGGTGGAACTAGGATTTGGACCCAAGCAATTTGCTGTTGGTGTCAGGGGCTCTTAACCAGTTTAGTATGTCTCATAAACTGAAATCAGATATATTTTTTAAAAGCTTTTTTGGGTACCAGTCTCTTGGAAGTTACTTCTTTTAAGAACAAATTAAAAATACATTAGTTTGTATTCATATTACGTAAGTCATACACATCCTCTCTAGAAAATTCAGAAGAAAAGAAAAGCATAAAGTATAATAGAAGAATTATTCCCTATCATTGTAATTCTAGAGATAAGACTATTAACTATACACATTCACATATCTTTCTAAATGTATTTTTAAAAATAGGTTATACTATGCATGCAGTAAAATTATATTGTGAACATTCCCCATGATTTAAGATATAATGTCTTACTCTATGGAAGTGTCATAATTCATTAATCTGTTTTTTACAGTTAGAGATGTAGGTTGTTTAGTTTGTATGTGTATGGGTGCATGTGCTGATCTTTTTAAAGATTTGGTAAAATTGTTCAGAAAGGTCTTTTTTTTTTTTTTTTTTTTTTTTTTTTTTTTTTTTTTTTTTTTTTGAGACATAGTCTGGCTTTGTTGCCCAGGCTGGATTGCAGTGGCTTGATCTTGGCTCTCTGCAACCACCGTCTCCCAGGTTCAAGTGATTCTCATACCTCAGCTTCCTGAGTAGCTGGGACTAGAAGTGTACACCACCATGCCCTAATTTTTGTATTTTCAGTAGAGACATGTATGCCACCATGCTCTAATTTTTGTATTTTCCATAAGGTTTGGGCAAGGCTCAAACCATTTTTTTTTTTTTTAAAGACACAGGGTCTCGCTCTATTGCCCAGGCTGGAGTGCAGTGGTGTAATCATAGCTCACTGCAGCCTTGGACTCCTGGGCTCAGCAGTCCTACCCTGACCTCTCAGAGTGCTAGGTTAGCATGTGTGAGCCACTATGCCCAGCTAATTGTTACTTTCTGTTTTTTGTGAAGATGGAGTCTCACTGGGTTGACCAGGTTGGTCTTGAACACCTGGCCTTGAGTGATCTTCCTGCCTCAGCTTCCCAAAGCACTGGGATTACAGGTGTGAGCCACTAAGCCTGGCGTAGGTGACTTTTTGAGTAGGGTCTTTGGGCTTATTGCATTTGTGATGTAGCTTGCATTGCTGACTATGTATTAAACTGGTGTTGATGTTTTACATGATCGTACTGTGCATGCTTGGGCCCAGGGACTGTGCCCTCCCTTTGGCCCAATATAAGCAATATAGGACCCCAGAAGGAGAAGCTAATATCACAGCTTTTGTGAGAGAATTAGCAGCTTCCTAGTACTCAAAGAGGCCATTGCCTAAAGTAGCAGTGCCTCTCCTACCTGCCACTGCCTTCATGCAGACTCCTGAGCAAGGGCAGCTATTAATTTGCTGCTCAGCTCTTGTTGAAATGGATTGTCTGATCTGTGGGGCCATGTGACTCTCTAGCCTGGCATTCCCCTTCTAGGGTAGAGCAACTTAGATTCCATGTCCAGGAAAATGGAAGAGGCTTAACAGACCTCGTGGCCAAATAAAAATCTCTCCTAGAGCCCAACCTGCCTGGCCTTACTTGGCATTAAGGTTTCACATGAAAAACTGGCAGTTACCTCCTGGGGAAACCCTATTTCCAAATCACTGCTGAAGCCAAACCACCCAGTTAAGTCCTCCATCCCCTGAGGCCCTCCTAGTGTCGAGGCTGGGCTCTCTGACCTTCTGCTGCATCAGAAGCTGATGGTATGCA